TGCCGCGCCCGCGTCTGTTCCCAGGGACTCACCCTGCTGCTCGTAGCTGCACTCGGAGGCGCTGAAGGCCACGGCTCGGCGGCTGATGGGGTTGGCGGCAGTGCAGGCGCAGGCCAGGCTGGCATTGCGCGGGTTGTAGGAGAGGTGCAGGAGGCTCCCGTTGTGGACGCAGAAGCGGGAGGCACCATTCCAGCTGTAGGACACCCGATCGCCCCGCTCTGCTGTGCAGTTGAGGGTCATGGTGCAGCTGTCATTGGCCAGCATCCTGCTGAGCACCTGGATGCTGGGCACTGACACTGGCTCTGCAGGGAGGGATGGAGGGCACCAGCGCTCGTTTCCAGGCAAGGATGCTGCCTTGTCCCCTGCCCCATAAATCCCACCAGCCTCTTGCAGCTCCCCAAGAAATGGAGAGGAGCTGGTCTGGCCTCAATCTCGCTCCTGCTGCAGCATCCCGAAATTGTGTCAGGAGCACGGAGAGGGATGGGGTCTGCATGCACCCAGCAGCTCCCAGAGGCACCTAGCTCACAGGCTGCAAGAGGGTGCCAGGCTCACCGCAGCCCCATCCCAAGGGAGATGGGGAGGGACGTGCCCCACAGCCCCTGCTCAGCCCCAGCACCCACCGTTGCAAGCGATTAAGGCAGCACAGTCCCCCCATCGCTATTTCTCACCATATACTTCCAGCTGTATTTGCCAGACTTTCTCCTCAGATCCCTTGCTGATGATGTACTCATAGAGCTGCCTGTCCTGCCTGCTGGTGTTCAGGATTTCCAGGGAGAAGTTGGCCAGGTGGAAGCGAGTCTGCTCCCGCATGTAGTTGGTGTAGTTGCCGTCCGAATACTTGAGCAGCACCTGCTTGCTCTGTGGGTCCTCTGTGTCCCGCTTCCAGACAGCTGTGCCGAAGCGCACCGTCAGCTCCTGGAATTCGGGGGGGATCCGCAGGAACGTCGCCTTGCCTAGGGTGCCCAGCACCACCTCCCTCGCCCCGCAGCTCATGCCTAGGAGGAGAGCAAAGAGGAGGGCTGAAAACAGGCGACGCGAGGACCTACAGGCAGCCCAAGCGGCTTGGAGCGGCGGTCCAGCTTTCTCTGCCCACGAGAGCGCAGCTGCCAAGGAGGAGCAGGGGACAGCGTTCGACTCACCCCAGTTATCTGCAGATTAGGGACTTCTTGGTTTCTGGGCGGTAACACCCTCAAGTCTTTTTTTTTTTTTAATTTTCTATCGACCTCCCGCTGGCACACCCTCGGTTGCTGCTCCGGCAACAACCACCCCCC